GCATATATACAGTATCTTTTAATATACCATACTATTAATGAGAATACATACATACGTACAGCATGATATATCTTTTAATATATATACTAAATACATGCATACATACATATACATTTATAAACTATAAATAAATATAAATATTGATGAACAAAATTGATTGTATGAAGTTATTTTGGCATTTGTAAGTGTAGCAGTTTATTAGCGCCAAGGAGGCTTAAAAATTGCATAATATTTTTGTATTTTTCAATGTTTATTTTCTCACAAAATTACTTATCTCTTTTGCCAACCAAATAATTGGTTTTGTATGTTGCTGGTAGCACTTTGTAACTGTAACAGTTAATGGTATACTAATTTTAAAGGGAAGACCAAAAAAGACCGTTCCCACGACAGTCGGGTATAAGTAAACGAAACGGAGTCGGATTTTTTTTATCCGTGCAAGGATTGTCAATTCAGCAGCATTCCTCTTAATTACCTGAAGAATGTTTTCTGCCGCTACTACAACAACCAAAATCTTGTGCACTGAACAGTAGATAACCATTTGCTGCACGAAGGAAGGCAATATTTATTGTCAGGTAAGTAATAGAAGAGAGTCGATTAAAAGAAAAATTATTAAACCAATCTTTACAATTCTTTAAAAACTTTTAAAATAGGCTCCTTCTGCGTCGATACAGCGCTGCCAGCGATATTTCCAAGCATTGACGGCGCCACAGAAGGCATACTCCGGATTAGCCTTGAGATGCAGATTGGATCCCGTTTGTCATCTCAAAATGCTTGCCTTTTATCGACCTTTTCAGGTAAGAAAACAAAAATAAGTACGAGGGGCCACATCTGGGCTGTAGGACGGCTGCGGAAGTATTGAGATGCCGGYCTTGGTTAGGTAGCTGTTCACAAGAAAGGCGGTGTTTGTCGGTGTGCAACTTCCAATCGGCTGCAATGTCTGGTCGGACCGAAAATCAGTATAATATTATAAAATAAAAAATTTGATAATTTTGAATATGCTCCGAAAATACCTGACGAATTTGAAAATTTCTTTCTCGGTTGTGAAAATATKTTTTATCTTCGATAAATATAGGCTATACCATATTTTCAAAAAAATTGAGTATCCTTACTAAAGGGAAAAAGGTAATGCAAGGCGTGAAAAAATTACCTAAAAAATTCCTTACATAGGATGTTCTGTTAATACTATGGATTCTACAATAAAGTAATGTACAACTACTGTGCAGAACAAATAATTATCTAAAAAATATAGCGACAGCATATGTCTAACAGTTATAGTTACGTCACATTAAAAATATAAACAAATAAAAAAATTGTCTATACAAAGACTTGATTTTGATAGATCAGTTTGTATGACAGCTATGTATGTATATGCTGTAGTGGACCGATTTAAACAAAATTGTTGGACGAACAACGAAGCCTTTAATGATTTTCTATGGTTTTCGATTTTGTGCTCTATTTACTTCGCTCTAAGAATGTCTTAACGAACTTCCTTGAACTTTTTCAATTTCTCCGATTTAACTGACATGGACGAAGTAATAATTGGTTGTCAATTAATTGAATATTTGCCAATTGACTGCTTGATCTTTTTTTCATAAGCCACAGCWAGTGTTTACATTGTTGATTGGATTAAAGTTCCATTGAAATGTGGCAGATGTGTTGGCTGGTGGCATGCATATATGTATGAATGTAGTTATATATATGTATATACGTGTGTAGCTTATATAACTCGCTTGTAATAGTGATAGGCTTTGCACTAAGCTGCTTAGCAGCAAAAATTCTAAAATATGTAATTAAAAAAGGAAATATATGGAATCTTCCATTGCTGGCTACAACAGTAGTAGGCAACAGTTTTGAGCATTTGTAATGGAAAAGAGTAAATCTTTCAAATACTCTAGTATGTTTTAATTTTACATATTTTTATGAAGGTTTTCTAAAATTCCCTATTCTGTACTCAGAAAAAAATCAGAAAATCAAAATTTATGCCAAAAAGCTTGCAGCTTTTAAATCTGTAAGCAGCTTTTCAAAACACCTTGGACTTACAGCCACTGTTAAATAATAAATTGAAACATATATTTTTGTAGAAATCTTAAAATATTTTGAATTTATTAGCCACTTTCGATTTAAAGATACCTTGTGAAATAAATTTCATGGATTTTTAAAATACGGTAGAAGTTTGTAAAGCCTACGCAATTAGTTTGCTTACGTGAAAGAAATTCATTTTTTATATGTAGCTTAAATCTATATCCGTTTAGATAATATTTTTTGTTTTATTCTTACAGGTAAGCACATCACGTCCAAATGATAATTTATTTTGTTCCTGCCATCTATGTGAGTATAGAAATGAGCAGGAGTAAGGTTTAGGATTTTGCTTGTTTTATCTGCAGTGTATTCTGCTTGTAGGTGATCCTTAAGAGATCAGTAGGGTAATCTGGCCTGTATTTTTGACATTTTTTTTCAAGGAAATTTTTATTCTATAATAAAATTTTCTCACATATCATGAGTTATTACGTGAAATGTAAAAATACAATTTTTTCGGAATTTTTTTATGACATCTCTCGGAGAAATGGCGGGTGAATGAGATGCGTTTTTTCACTGGCGGACACGATTTCTCATGTTTGTATCATCTGATACACAAAAACTCATGGATTTGCTATGAGATTATATACACTTCGAAGCAGAAAAAACGAAATTTTCGACAACATTTTTTGGAAGACTCATTTTATTTATTAAATTAATAAAAATAATATATATATTCAAAATTTAACGTGCTTTAATAGTCGACTAATCATTTCAAAAATTTCTGTTTGCCGTGATCCTGTAACAAATTTCCTGGAAGACCTTTGAAACAAGGCTGCGGCGGTGCGGAATATCCAATAACGAAAACAAAAAAGATTTTAAAATTTAAATCCTTAACAAAAATCTTAAAAATTATTTTTATTACAATAAAGTAATTCAGAAAATGATCACAGGACTAGTCCATGTCAAGAAAAAATTATTAAAAATCTTATGCCTTCAATCATTACCTTCGGGAACAATCCCTTGCCTTGGGCAATAATCTATGCCGAATTACGTGAAAATATCTTGTCAAATAAAAAACTTTTCCATACAAGGACTTGTTTTTCTTGCATTAGGTTGTATGACAGCTATGTATATGCTGTAGTGGTCCGCCTTCAACGGTTACGAACGATATTTCAAACACTGAGGGACTTACAGCGGCGGATTAATCTGCAAGCTGAGCCAATGTAGTCTACGACGGCAAATTTTAAGAGACACAAAACAAAAATACAAATATAGAGTGCTACAGACATTATACTAAACACCTAACGCCTCTATATGGACAATTGCAAAATACCTTGTAATCAAATGTATCGAATTTCGGTGGTCAATAAAGGAGGCAAAAATTGAAAAGACTGCAGGCGACAAATCTGTAAACCCACCACTGGGAACTTCTTACAAATGCTGTGGCAAACTTAATATGCCCTGTTCAAAGTATAATTACAATAATAACTACACACATACGCCAAAATCATTTTATCAACTTTTTATTTGTAATTGAGCGCGTCGCTTAGTTGTTCAGCGCACGCATTTATGGATTCGTTGAGTAAACTGCAGTACGTTTGTTAAACGTTATACTTTTATTATGTTATGAAAGCTCTCACCAAACCTACGCTCAGCGACTTCTTGCACTCAACAGGTTGAAGTGAAAAAGCCCAAATATTGGACAATCAGTYGCTGCGGAAACATTGACGAGGTTGTGAGTCAAAAGCATTGCCGCTAATACACGGAAAACAGTGGTGAAACCTACATACACAGACAGCATTTCGTTTTTAACTGTAACACTGCGTACGCATATACAAACGAACGCACACAGTTACACGCCGTATACAGTGCCAAGCAGCGCGCATGCGTCGCTGACATTGCTACATTATATTTTGGGCGCTGTTGGGCGGTTTACAGTTCGTGTGGACAACGGCAATGTGTGAGTGTTGGTGTTAGCGTCGATCATACGATTTATTACGTTGCGTTTGCTACGTTAAACGTTCATSCATATGTAGTATCTATATATGTGCCGATGCGTGTCTATGGGAAAGTGAATCATAGCTTCAAAATATGTGTGGTTAACAATTTTAATTAATTTTATTTTATTTGGTTTTGCAAGTAAAACGCAACAATTTCAAAAATTTAAGCACCTATTTAAACGAAATTCAGTGAGCGTTTTGCTACGGCGTTGATATGTGTTCATTGGCAGCGCGCAAAAGCGGAAATTGTGACGACTGCAAAGCGGTGCGGCCACGCAGTCATCAAATTTGCAGTGACAAAGCGAAAAATCCCCACGGAAATTTCCGCTTAAATGAGAAAATTTGGCTGACAGTCCTACTACTGGCAGCGTGTTTGCTGCACTGCAGCCGTAAGTATACAAAAACAAAAGGAAAAGTCGTAAAAAATATTACAACAGCGAGGCGTGTGCATGTGTGTGTGTATGTGAGCGTGCCAATATGTGTGSGTGTGTGTGTGRATTGCTGTGAATTTAGGCTTCATTTGGCCGTGTTTATTTCATTTTCGCTAGAGTTAGTGTCTAAGCTGCTAAGAAAGTGTGGTAACTGTAACAATACCGAAATTCCAATTCACTTTCAAAGCAAAACCTGTGAAACTGGTGGCGTGGAACGAATAAGTTGTTCGACAGACATGTGCGAATGCACATATTGCATACAGACATATATACACTCTTAAATGCATATAGTTTTAGATAGATTCGCGCAGATTTGTGAACAATAACAAAAAAATAAAAAAAATAAAACGCTTGGCAACTACTGGGAAAATATTGTAAATAAGTGGCATTAATCAATAAGATTTTTACAAACAAAGGGGAAAACACGCGGTTTGTATATGTATATAAGCATGCTGAAAAATACATGSTTAAAAAAAAGGTAGAAGTAAATAAGCGCTTTGATTATGCATTTCCGTGAGCACTTTGCAAGTTTGTGTCTTAACTCTTTTCATTTCAAAGGCATTTACTTGAGTATTGGCAGCGCTGACTTCGTAATTTGGTATAAGCACTTCACCGAAATTTAACTGAGACCAACAAATATACGGAAAAAATTACATTTATTTAAAAAAAAAAAAAAAAAATACAACTATGAGTCATGCCAAAGAATGGTATATTTGGCGTAGTTGTGTGTGTTTGTTTGTAACTTTAACAAAAGCCGCTCAGCTTGCTTGTTTCCTCACCTTTGTACAGTCTGTGCTAAAAATATCGGGTGTATGATTTTAGTTCGTAATAGGCGTCAATTTTTAATGATATATCAATATTTTAATAATTCACTAACCTCAAAAAGCGTTGCGTATAATAGTAGTATGGTATATTTTAATTAAAATAATTTTTAAAAATTTTAATCTAAATATCGGAATGGAAAAAAGTAATTGTAATCCCAAATATCGGATTAAAAAAATCAAAATTTCACATTTTTTGCCAACATGTCCTTGGTTTCAGCCAGTTTGAGTTATGTTAGAGCTCTAGAGCACTGGGCGCCAAACTTATATACTTGTTTAATATGTAAATTATTTGCATTTTATCAATTTTCAATACTGATTTTTAGTTTAAAAATTGAAATTATAAATGCTGGTTTTGAGTTTCAAAATTAAAATACCAACCTTTGATGCCGATTTTCAAAATTAATTTGGGCTTGAAAATGGAAGTTTCGAACTTATTTCCAATCTTGGAGTTAAAAATTTAATTTTTAAACCAAAATGTTGTAATTAAATATTATTGAAATGCGTTAAATTTCAATTTCAATACCAAAATTTTAAAGAAAATTTGATAATCTATTTTTTAAAGCAAAACTTTYAATTGAAGCACACTTGGATGAAATTTGAAAAAGAAAAATATGTGTTTTTTCATATTCTTGTAGGTTCTGCCTTTGAAAATAACAAAATTAAATTTTACATCGATTTCTCAAATAGTTTTTGAGTAACAGCTTTCTAAAGTTGATTTTTAATCACGTTTTTCATAAACTTACATTTTGATTATTCTTATATATTTAATAGCCGAGTTTATATTACAAGAACGCCAGTCATTTTTCGAGGTTCTTCCCGATCCTGACGGAGCTTTTGGTGTTGCTCAACGTCAGTTTACACAGCCGTATTAGTTTTGCGGGGATACCAAAGTCAGACATCACGGCATAAAGACAGCTCCTTTTCGTGCTGTCGAAAGCAGCTTTGAAATCGACGAAGAACTGGCGCGTGTCGATCATCTTTTCACGGGTCTTTTCAAAGATTTGGCGGATGATGAATATCTGGTCAGCTGTTGTTTTTTAAGGTCTGAAGCGACACTTTTACACAGTACGCTCTAATCCGATCACTATTTAATTTATTCTCTATATAGTGGCCTCCACATGGGTTTTTGAATTTAAGGAGGACTAAAATTTTGGGTAAAATTCATATCTTTTAAAAGCCGCCATTTTGTAAACTTTTAAACTTTTAAGGCTGTTACACTAAGTGTGCTCCTAAAACTGGTGTTTGCCGAAATACTATTCGGTCACTCGGTAAACTACGACTTTTAAAAGATTTATTTCGCTACTATTTTTTACCTTTCATACCGAATAATTTTGAATACGGAAATATTGCGCAGCAAAAATAAATATATTCTGATGCCGAAATATTTGTTTGGATATCCCTGTGGTGGGTTCCTAGTCTTTAATTGTAATTTTGAATTGGAAGAAGTTTGGAGGCGAATGGTATCCAGAGCGATGGTTTGAGTATTATTTTGAATTTAAAAAATGTTGTCGACAAATCAATGAAATTATTTTTTTTATTACATGAAAATACATAAGCATTAAAAATATATGTGCATTATATATAGAAATTATTAAATTTTCAGTGGCCATTGAAGATGAAGAGGATGGTCCATATCGTGGAAAATATTTAGGCAAAATTAATTCATATCATCATCAGGTGAGTGAAATGAACAAAAGACGCTTCACATAACTGTACATTTTTGATTAAAATTATTCACATTAAACTTTCCAGGTATCAGGCGATGTGTATGCCGTTAATGAGTACACCTTTCTCATAATCGGTTTCAATTACGATGGCAATGGCGCTGATACATTCTTTTGGGCTGGCGCATCCAATCGTCCCGGTCCACAGGGTTTCATTGTGCCAGATGAATATGGCAAGTATGTATTAAATTGACCAATAAGCCTAAACACTGTTTCAATTTAATTTTTTAAATATTTGCAGAACTAACATACTAGATCGTTATCACAACAAGGATTTCACGCTATCACTGCCCGATCGAAAGAAAATAACCGAAATCAAATGGTTAGCCGTCTACGATCTGAACAATCAGAATAACTTCGGAGATGTTTATATACCGGAAGAATTCGAACCGCCACGTGCACAAGCGGGCGGTACTTTCTCTCGCCGCAGTCACAATGTCAGCAGCAGTGCTCTCGAGATGCTCGACTCTAAGACGATACGCATTAAAGATTTCACTTATGATGGACTGGGTAAGCGTACGTTCTTTTGGACCGGTGTGGGTGCACAACCGTCTAGTCGTGGCAGCAAGATACCCGACGAAATGGGATAGTGAGTATTTGTAGTGATATTACATAATAGATTAAACACTTTTCCATATTTTTTGTAGCTTGGATCCGATACGGAAATATGAGAAAGAGACTATTACGCTAGAGTTACCCGGTGATAAGACGATTTTTGACATCGATTGGATAAGCATATACGATTTATCTGATAATGAGAATTACGGACATATTTTAATAGCCGACAATCTAAATGTACCACCATCGTTAGTGAAAATAACGCCCTATGAGTTCTCGCTGCCAAATTGTCGGCAATTGCATAAGAATTTGCAAGTCTCCTGGGAGGTATTTGGCCCACAAATAACATTACAGCTATCCGGTCAGGTGGAAAAGAATGATTACATGTCATTTGGTATATCCGGTTCAGATACGTCAAGTCAAATGATTGGCGCCGATGTGGTTGTCGCGTATATCGACGATATACGTGGCTACTCCGTAGACTACAATATTACATCTTTGGCGCCGGTAATAGAGTAATGTGACAATAATACAAAAATTATATTCATTAATTTGACATTTTAGTGCGTGCAAGTGTTGGGTCAAAATAAGGGTGTTTGTCGCGATGATGTTGTCGGCGGTTTGGACAGTTTTCAGCTTAATACTTATAGCCGTAAAGACGGTATAAATACAATTACTTTTCGGCGGACTCTGATATCATGTGAGTACTCTTCAATTATGGCATGATGTGTTTAAACTTACAAAATTTTAAATTTATAATTTATTATTAGCGGATCCGGGCGATAAAGAAATACGTCTAGACAAAAGCAATTATGTGGTGTGGGCCTTAGGGGAATTGGATTCAAATTCGGAACCCGCATTTCATTTTGTATATCCCAAAAGTGATATACTCATCGATTTCAATACAACTGAGCCTATAAACGATTGTTTTAGTTTTACAAAGGCACCCGAGACACCCATACAGATATGGGAACGTGTGCGCTTACATGATCCGTGAGTACTACATTGTAACTGTGTATATTGTAAAAAAAAATCTATGGTATTTTCTTTGTACACGTTCAGTACCCTGCGCACTTTTAATGCATATCTTGGACCCTCGGGCGGTCTGCGTGGCTACCAAGGTATTACCGGACACGTGTCTAGCGGTCTGGCTTGGTACATTAACGGATATATGACGCCTGAACTGTATTTGAAGCGTGGTCTTACATACGCCTTCAAGGTATTTTCAGTTTTGAAATAAATTATTTTAAAGTGAAGAATATATACGAGTCAACAATTCTAATATTTAACAGGTACGCGGTGGCAATAATCCACATTCGCCAGAACATTATCATCCAATGGTTATAACTGATGAACCTCATGGTGGCTTCGATCGTCTTAGTGATGCAAAGCAAAGTGAAATCCGTGTACTTGCTGGTGTTGAATTCACACGCCGCGGTCGCCCCAAACCCACTGCGGCCGGTCCATTATGCCTCTCCAAATATCCGCTCAGTTATGATCGTCGTTTGGATGATTATTTCCCCAGTTTCAAGAAATTCAATCGTTCACTGATTAGTATTTGCCCCAATGAGGAGCCCGCTATTTTGGAAATCACGCCGAATATTACATGGCCCGATACTGTATATTATAATAGTTTCACACATGCCAACATGGGTTGGAAAATTCATATTATTGACAGTTTTACAAATATACGAAATGGGGCACTACAAAATGTCGTTACATTTCCCTGCCATTTGGGACTGTTATTATTGTATGTGCAAATTCTCATTAAATTAATACGTGATCAATGATTGAAATAGAAGAAAAAGGCACACATATGCTCCTGCGCTTCATGTAAAACTCTCCGAAAAGAGCAGTTTTTAAACGAGTGCAACATAAAAATTAAATGTCTTTTCACATTAAATAGCTGACTGATTTCAATATATTTAATAATTTCACTCATTATGCAAAAAGACAGCAACTCGTACTTGTTATAAATGCATGTTTTATATATGCACATAAAGATATATGCACCGATCCGATAGTCAGATTAAGTCTGTTATAAATACTTCAACAATTTCGCAGGGTCTTATTGTAAAAGTCACAATGTATTGTAGTTTAGCGCATTTCTATGTACATAAATAAATGAACTATTGATATATAAAAAGATGTATATGTATTTTTCACTTTGATAATAAAGAGTAGGAAATTGTATGATTTATGACGAAAATCAAAAATGTCAAAAAAAAAAATAAATAAATAAAATAAAAGAAACTTACCAGAAAATATATTCCACCAAAGGATTGTAAATGATTATAACGATTGTATTCACAATTCACACTCATTTATGTATTTGCACACTTCACAATGTGACAATGACACTATTACTCACTAATTTTGTAAACACTTCATTTTCAGAGTTACACTTTTAATTTACGAATACGATGTTATTTTACACCATAATTAATTAAATTTTATTGCTGGCGCTTTTTAACAGATGTTCTAACTCGTTGGCGATGGCGGAAAGTAACGAAAATGTTACACAGTGCGATCTAAAACATGAATAGACAATTTTTCTGAATTTCTAAAGCGTTAATTTTAATTCTACACCAACTATTCCTCATTAGTTTCAACTGCTTTTGGCAGGCCGCCATTACTTTCTACCTAGTTTGTATTTACTCACAAATTGAACGCTTAATTAATAATATTTATAGCGAATATGAAATTCAGTGGAGTAAATTATACATGCAATGATTTTTTTCTTATAATTTATCAATGTTTTAACTGTAAGAACAAAATTTCCTAAATTTTTTAATTAACACTTTTAAATTGGCGACTAACTAGTTGAAAATAGCGGAAACTAATGAAAAGAATGTCGATTAACGATGCAGTGTCGCATTTAAATAATATACAGTAAGTTAATATTATTTATAATAATTACTCAATCTTCAATAAATTTTTCGATGTAAAAACTAAGCAGTTGAAGTTAACTTTAAACCGAATGAGATTTAACCATTTTTATTACACTCTAAACATAAATATTTTCTTGTTCACCTACAACCCTATTTCCGTTTCTCGTTTTCTTTTCAATTCTATCTTTCACTAAGCTGTACAGATGCTAATTACTAATTTATTTTGTTATATTTTTTAAACAAATGGGTTTTAAATATTTTCGATCTGTATAAAAATTTTAATATTTAGTGCGGATAGTAGTTTAAAAATAATGCTCTGTAAATTAAAAAAAAATATGTCGTTCTGAAAAGTTATCCTGTGAAAGGAAGCTAAGTAGTAACGAGTAGTTACAGTGCAAATCGCTATTAGTTGGAATTTTTATTTTTAAAATTGCACTCTGAAAAGCTTATTGCGTTTATTCAAATGTAAAATAAGTAAAAATATGTACAACATTTGCAAATTTTAAAAGAATATAAAAGTGCATTGCCTGTGATAAATAAAAATACTTGTATTGAATGAAGAAGTAAATGGCGGCTATATTCAAGAGAAAATAATTTTGATGATGTGGAATTGGTTAGCAGTCAATTTGCAATATTTACTTAGAACACAGGTAGGTACATCAATATGACAAATTATAACTAATAACTCAAATATAATATTTCCCTTTAATTATTTCATTCCTATCTTATGTTGTTATACCCTAAACAGGCTATAAAGTTTGCCACAAAGTTTGTGACACTCATAAGGGGAAACGCCGGTCACATTAGCATGATGACCTGTGTAGATTTAGGCGTATCCGTCGGTCAGTCTATCTATATATTTGCTCATTCTTCTCTCAAATTTGAGATATCAATCTGAAATTTTTCGTATGTTCTTTTTTATATGACAAGATATCTGCTGAAAATTTGTTCAAGCCAACGGTACAATCACCGGAGAAATTGTTCAGTTTGGATTACTATAGCGTGTAGATGCCATACAAACAGATCGCTTAAAACCAATATAAAGATCTGGTTATACCTTTTTATGCTTTGTGTGAATTGTTAAATGAAGATAGCTGTCTCGCAGCCTGTTGTTGTTTTAAACACCCAAAGATTATTTAGCAATTGAATTTATCGTAACAGTCAATGAGTACTTTTTAGTTGACCTTGACATTTAAACTGGTAAAGTGATTTTTCTAGACAACCCCATATATATTATTTCACCACCAGGCATTAACTGACAATCGTATTAATGTTAATAACATTCGCACTTTATTGTGATTTTCAGCATCATAACATTTTATGAATTATAATATAAATTTTGTTTGCAATTTTCTTTATTGTTTGTTGTTTTCTAAATACTTAATTATTAATAATGCTGGCTCTGTTTTTTAGCGCGATTAAATGTTTTAGTGCTGCAAAAATATTTTCAATGTTTCTTGTTCATGGCCTTACGACTTATCTAACAAGTCTTGCTTAATTTTATTATGCTTCTTGATGTGTGCAGATGCATTAGTTGTCAATTAATTATTCTATTATAGTTTTTATTTTATTTTTCTTTTTTATGTTTTTTTTATATATTTTATATAAACTGATAACTGAACTGCATTCTTTCGGTAACGTTTTACTTACATACATACATACACATACCTTATAAATTGAGAAGCACTGCATTTTTGAGTAAATTATATATAATATATATATGTTTCTAATTATACCATATATTTCCTTTTTTCATATATACATACAATAATGTATACATCATAACACGATAATTTAATATTTAGAATAATACATAAACATATTATATATAGCTAAATATCTTGTATATACGGTTTTGATGCACATGCATAATTAGCATTACTGCTGCTGCTATACTGAATATTCAAAACATGAACAATTTAAATAATATATTTTATAAATTACAATTAAGTAGCACAAGTTTAAATGCTAGTTGCAGAGTATATAAAAAAAAAAAAAACAAAGACAATTTTCAATTCTCAAAAATTTGAATTCGAACTTATTAATAATGAGACAAATTATCAGCAATAACCAAAGAATTTTTTGATTAATACAAAAATACATACAAACAAATTCTACACCTTTGCCAACGTGTGATTACACAAATTTTGCTATTTCCAGTTTTGTGGAAGAGCAGTTCGGCACACTATGAAAAAATGTGAATTAACAACTTTCGAATCAACTAACAGTTATTTATGCATTTTAATTGAAATACATATTCTTCGAAAATGGTAATAAAATGGTTAAGTTTTCTGTCAACACATTTATTATTTTACAAATAAATATTAGCCAATATTTAGAAGTGTTGTTGTTGCACTTAAGAACAATGTTTAGAATAAAAAATTTTTCCTAAACTCCCTAGAAAATCGAAATACCTCTTATAAATGAAATTCAATGGAAAAAATATTTTCTGTTGCTGTTGTGATACTTAAGTAGTATATTATTTCCATAGATAGCTTAACGCTGGATTTGGTATTTTCTGCATATAAATACCAGCCATTACCACAACAGCCCGGAATATATACCCGGATTTTACTGATATATTCGAGGGTCTCACCCCATTTCCATCAAACAAAAAAAAATTAAAGAAATAGAAAAACATATCATTTAATTTCAGAAAAATTATGTTAACAGCACATAGTTAACAATTCTCAGTGATTCCACATTAAGCGCACAACAACTATYCAAACTAGATGTAGCAGTGCGCAAAAAAGACTTAAAGAAATTCTTTTCGGGCAATCGTAAAATAAATCTCGACACATACATATATTTGAATAAACAATTTTTGAAATTTTAACAGCTTTTACCAATGGCTTTCGTTGCTATTTCACTTTCCATTCGTTTCATATTTCATGAGTTTGTGTTGCTGTGGAAAATAAATCGAAACAGTTAATTTAAACGCTATAAAAGTTGATTTCCCATTTATACAGCTTGACGAATTCTACGCTATTTAAATATGCATGTACATATATACCTAGTAAAGTAATTAATTTAATATTACAAACATGTAACTTAAATGTTTCAAATATAATGTTAACCACAAATATTCACTTTCATACGACTTACGCTACTAATAATGACATATAATGCCATTTCGTTTATTTCTATGTTTATTTTTTCACAAGTTATCAATAATTTGTTAGCTTATTGTGACTATTGCAACTTGCTTTTGCATTTATGTTTGTGTTATATTTAGTTTTATTTGCATCAAACAATGTTGTTTGTTCATTTTTAATTACATGCTTTCGTTTCTTTTAAATTAATTTTATTTTTTGTTTTTAATAAGTATTTAATTACTTAAGCGCATGGACATAATGATCATTATTTAATATTTAAAAACGCTTTTGTCATAATTAATTGCGTGAACACGCAATGACCTCGAAAATTGATCTGAGTAAAGTTTGAATTTAATGAAATGATGCATATAATGTTTGTAATTTCTATTCGTTTTTTTTTAATTTTTTTTACGTAGGCTTTTAAATGTCTAACTCATTTTTTGTTGTCTTTAAATTTAGTTCTGGCTATTCAAGCTCGTCGTTATGATCATTAAACGTAGAATATTAAAAGAAAAATTATTGTTTCAACACTATGCTCACTGCTTTGCGCTGGCGATCAACAAAAAAAAAGTGAGTAATACCAATTATTTTTGTATTTATTATTCAAATGAAAACAAAATTATGTTAAAGAAGAATATTTCACTAACTTTCCTTCCTTTTGCTTTGCTTTGGCAAATTTTTGTGGAATGAAAATGTTCACAGAAATACAAACTGGCGGCAGAAAACTCAAAAGTTTAAAATAGACGTCACAACACTTACTTTTACATAGCAAAATAATAAGAGCCGAATTTTTACAAACAGCGTAACCGCTTTTTATAAATAAAAACACATTAATTGTGAAAAAATATATAATTTCTGCATTGCGTTATGGGGAATAATATGAAATCGTTAGATCTGGCCAGTTTTAGAAATTATCAGATTCTTACAAATCTATGTACGAATATACTGTAAATACTGAAACCGATTTTACTCATTTTGTATTGACATAAAAAAGTATTCGTTTATAATAAGTATGAAAATGAATGAGAAACTGATTTTTTAGTCAAATGCTTTTACACTGTATACGCTTACACCATATTTTATTTGAATAAAATTGTTAGTTTTTCACGTATGACAAACAATATTGCTCGTCGAGTTCCGTGGCTTTCGTTAACGGATAGCACAAAAATTGAAGGTTACTAAGACTAGACTAACTTTACTCCAGCAGTATGGGCGATACTACCAGACATTTTATATATATTTATAAGAATATAAGAATATTGAAGACTTATTTACGAATATTATATTGTATTAAAATAATATTAGGCCCTGAATGGTATGATTTTTTTTTTTTCAAAAAAATATTAGGCGCTAAATTTATTTATTTTTTTCAAAATTAAATGACAAGTAGAGCGCACATAAAAGAAAAATTGTAAATGTTAAAATATATATTGTTTGTGTTTGTTGTCATTTCTAATTAGCCAATAGCACAAGATTTCAGCTGAGTATCCTTCAAGAACAACCTCAGCTATGTACTTGAACATCACTGCATATGCGCTTATAAATAATGCCTTCAATATTAAAGCAATATTTGTCTTTTTATTATTTTTTAAATATGTAATTTTAGTTTTTGCTCTTCGAAGCATGGTAATGTTGTAATAATGTTAAATATGCCGTTATTAGCTTTGAAATCCCCCATTTTTTCATTTAAAAGTTATAGTTTACTAAGATCAAACTACAATTATTGATATATTTTTTTTTTGTTTTGTTTCTATTTTTTAATGTGAATTTCCAACTTATTTTATATGTTCGTATTAACGAAAAGAAAAAAAGAGTTATTATTAACAATTTCTGTTTTTATTACAAATTAGGCAAACATATTACTGCATAAATAGTTGTTATTCTTACTGATTTCGCATAAATATGGTATAAAAAACACACTCTCTTCGAAAAGTAGCTGAAAGTCTATAGCCGAGGCAACATTGTTTTAAGGAATTTAACAGAAATGTAATCAGAGTACTGTACAAAGTTTTTGTTTAAGGCGTTTATTGTTTTCTTGTTTTTTCTTCTTATTCTTTTTTTTTTTTTTTGTGCGCAATAGTAGACGATTTATATGGTTTGGTTTTACTGGCGCAGCCAGCTGTTTTCTTACTTTCCCGCGCTTTAATTCTACTTCTCACACACTTTTTTCTCCACGTTGCTTGCAAGCCGCGTTTGAGTGCAAAACTTAAAACTAAAAACTTTACGTGTTTTGTTGTTTCGGCTGAGGCTTGTACATACACACACACCGTATTATAGATGTATCAATAATCAACTGCCAATCAAGATTTTGTTTCGTTAATTATTAGCGCTAATAGTGAGTTATATCTAACTATATGTATATATATATATATATGTATGATGCTATGAGTTGAGACAACGCCTACGCCGACGCATTCGTCTAGATTGCATGTCCGTCCTCGTATTTCGCTTAATATTACGATCAAAAGTTGATCGTAATATTTGTTTTTTTGTTTGTTTGCTCTGATTACACAGTACTGATAGCAACTAGTAGTAGTAGTGAGTGATAGCATTTGCAGCAGCGATAAGTATAAAATTTAGAATTAAGCATAATAATTATTCTTAACGACGTCATAATGGTGGTGGTGGTGATGAAGTAGAACTGAAGTAGATGAGAGAGTTTTAGCTAAAACTTATCCTGAAATATAAACAGATTGTTTGTGGCCGCCACAGCAATTATATTCTCTTGCGGATGCCAAGCTGTATGCAATATCTTCTTATTGAAGTCGAGACAATCGACACTAATCTCATCTTTTTTTCGCTTGCCACCGGTGCAAACTTTACGCGGTTTAAGCACCGTTTTTGGTTTGATAATGTCGCGTGACGCCTCCAATGTGACATCCTTTTTCGAATTGCGATCAAACACTCTGAAGAAATTGTTATAGCTGCCCGTCATTATGGAAGTGTCCTTGCCATTCCAACAACATTCGAATTTGTCGAAAATACAGTCATTCTCATACAGCGAACAGAGTTTAATGCGTAAGTATTCGTGAACCTGTTGTAAAAGAAAATATTTATTTAGTCATTTATATACAATGAATTATTAAAGAAAAAAAAAAAAAACTAACCGGATAAGTTTCAATTGGTTTCGTTTCCATGTGTAAATCCCATACTTTAATACTTAAATAGTCCCTAGAGATCATATAACGACCCGAATTGCTTAGTTTTACATCGCTTATAGAGCTAATTATTTCACTAAAGAAGCTGCGATTCGTTGGATTCTCCGGCTCCTCGAACTGTTTGCTATGTCGGTCGCACAGCGCAGCTGAACGCATATCACATAGACGTATTGTGCCCTTCGAGCTTGAGTACACGAATACATTGCATTCGGTTGGATGGAATTCGGCAGCGGTTATGACCTCCGTTAGCTCTTCCATGTTAGCTGGCTTAATATCGACTATATTGAAACTTTGATCGGTCACTTCAAGATGCCACAGATTGATTCGTAAATCATCGGCGGACAGATAAGTCTCTTGGTCAGAATTAACGCTAATTGAATTGATGTGATAGGTGTGTGCATTGGCGTAGTTGCGGCGTGGTGACGCTTCCACCATAAGTGGAATTTGCTTAACTGAAGGAACTTTTAAGCCAGTTATATTTTGCGGATCCTTCGCCAGACCGCTCTCCTCCTTTGTATTATAGCCCTCAAACGACTTATCCCGTTCACTGACCTTCCATAACTTAACCGTCTTATCGTTGGTTGATAATAAAAAGTGCGCAGGATTCTTTCTTCGCAGCCATCGTATCTTATTGATTTTCTCCTCTATTTCCAATGACTTTAGGTAATCGAACTCGGGTTCATGCGATTGAAAGGTTGAGTAAACATTATATTCACCGCGACGTGGTATTGCTGTTTTCGACATTGGATCGCGCTGTTCCAAAACCAATTGTTTTGTGAATAGATATTAAAATTTGAAATATGAATTTATATCTAGTATTTTGTGAAATGTTTGCCATACCTGAAAGATGACGACACGTCCGCCTTTATCACCTGTTGCCAGCAATTCACCATCATGATTGAATTCCACACAGGATATAATATCAGCATCGGTGACGTCATCGTCTAAGGCGCCTTTTATTTGTGAGAAGCACCAGGAAGCTTCTCCATTACCTGAATAGTAAAATTAAAAAAATATAAAAAAACAAAATTAGTTAAAATGAAAAATATCAACTATTTGCTAAATATACAATTCGGCATATTTTATTATTTGATGCAAATTTTTCGGCCAATATTACTTGCCACAGCTGCTCTAAACTTTATTATTTGGTTCTAATTTCCTAAACTTTTAAATGTCGCTTCATAAAAGTTGGAGACTCAACTTGTCAGCGGCATCATTTCAACTTAATATTTCAGTTATCGCTGTTTACCTACGAATATTGGACATACACATACAAATATACTCACACGAATATTATAGTATAATGTTAGCCACTAAATGATAAATAAAAAAATATACAAACTAATTTGATCAACGCATATTCGCACTGCATCAAGTACAGGGGGTTTCAGTAATTTTGTTGTAAAAGCAGACTTTTTAGTTAATTTCCGAATTAGCAAATTACGTTTTTTGCATTTACATAGTAAAAATGTATAGCATTTTATTGAATTTTATTTTAAAAAAAATTTAACTTCGGTTGTACCTACACAAAAAAAAAAAAATTATATTTAAAATTAATCTCCACCGTTGTATTAGGCAATAATGCATGCCCAGTTCCGTAAACAAAATAACTTGTCAAATAAACATTTTTTTGATTTTTAGATTTGTATAGTGCTTCTGCGTTTTTGACAAATGAACAGCTTTAGGGGGAAAGAACGTGTGCAAAATTTCAAATCGGTATCTCAAAAACCGAAAAAATAGTTTGCATATATACAGACGTACCTTCTTATAATTGTAAGCTTAGCATCCATAAGAACACCCTTTAGAGCGAACGTAAATGGCATTATTACAGTGTAGAAGGCAATATGACTTTGTACATACRTTTATAGTATGTACCTACTAATAATAATTTAATTCCATTATCGATGGCTGCCTCAGGCCGCAAATGCGTCATCATCTACTTTTGCTTGAACTAACTTATCCACATTGAGATTTTAATTGATTTTTAAGTGTATATGTTCACAACAATTATTAAAAAACAGCGATAATGATAAAAATAATAATATCAGTTCATGATTCCTCTCACCATTTTTGATGTCACCAGCAAGACGTTTGTTGATATCGTGTTTTAAGGGCGAATAAATAATAATAAAATTAAATGAAATATTTGGTAGTTATATGCAGTGCAGTCCCCCTTATGTCTTAAGCGGGACACATTTCTTGAACACGTTTACTTTATTAGTTTTATACAAATCCGAACCTATATATATAATATTTATTAGTTCTGTAGATATGTAGTTCTATATTGCAGCTTCTGACTCTAAGATTATATAGATTACAAGCACACCCTATATGTGGAGAGCTCCCAAAGCCGAACAAAAACACTGCTACGATAGGTGTCCCATTATGACGAGTCTCATACATGTAGTTATTTTTGTGAAACCATTTAGTCAATAATCTTATGAACATGTTTTATAAACTACGTAAAGGTAGTAACCTTAAACTATCGATATCGAGTTCCTCAGTTCTTGAAATATCGATCTGAAATTTCGCACAAGTTTTTTCCTTTCCGAGAAACTCTATATTTGGCAGCATGTCAAGGCCATTATCATATCTTCACGAAATTTAGAAAGTATTAAAATCCGGACAATCTCCGAACAAATTGTTCACATCGGACTAATATAGCATATAGTTATCATACAAACTGACCGATAAAAATGAAGWTATTGTGTAAAAACTTTTTGGCTGACGATTCCGTGCAAACGAAGTCAACGTTTTTTCTGCCAACWTGAATACATACATATATTTTTCGCATATACATTATGTAATTTTTGAATTTGTCTTTTTACAAGTCTCTGATTACTTTTGTTACTAACTAAACACTTCCTGACCTCATTCAACAAACATGTGCATGTGTTTACATATAAACAAAAAATGGTTGYAGATGAATGCGTCTGCTTTCAATTCATGTGTGTATGGTATCGTTTGCCGGCAAATAAAAATAAAAAATTGCAAATCGACGTCATTGTTTAAATTCTTATTGATTTGAAAATATGCAATAATTACGTCATGAAAGAAAGTAGAACAACAAACATTTGGAAATTCAGAAAATTTACATTTGAATATACTTTTTGGATAAATAGAATATAGCAAGCGGAAAACTACAATAAGTATTTGCATCCAGTCAGAGAATTGTTGCTCAGTTGTGGCATGATTTCATAATGGGCTCATCAAAGACGTACGCATGATAGATAATAAACAAMTTTCTATTTTTAGTTTTGGGGTTTGATTTGTGGTAAGGTCATGCATATCGCAAATAATRTMTGTTGATTGGTAACAAGCRATATGGTAGTATCGTTKGTGGTAAGGACTAATTTCCAGTGASTTGTATGTCGAATTATTGTRTAATAAATTTTTATAAACGGTCACAACAAACTCTGTCTAGTTGAACTAGTAAGACATTTCAAATGTTTTGGCACGCAAATACATATACTGATTATTTTTGTGTACGAAATATCTGTCGATATCAATAATGCAAATGCATTAATACGTCAAAAGCAATTTATGTTCTTACAACCATATCGTACGCAACCCGAACAGGAGAAAATATTAGTATTTACTCGGCCGTTCCAGGTCAAGGAATCACTCATGCAAGTGGAAGTAAAAAAAAAAATGTTATTGCGTCTGCTTCTGGCAGGCATAGCAACAATAGTATCGTATTTATATACAGTGCTCCTAACAATAACGGGTAGGTCATGCACTCCTKGTTGTTTCAAATGCTATTTTCTGGGCATTTTTTTTTATCAGCTATAAACATTTAAAAGACTGCAGTCTATCTGCTGTGATTTCAAACTTATTAAATATCCTGTAATTTTAATTGGTCRATGAATTATGAAAAAATCAACTTTACAAGTGTTTTTCAAAACTTGCGCTAATGTTTATTTAATAAAACATMCAAAGTAAAACATATAAAATACATTACGAATCTAGTCTTCAAACATACATACATACATGTATGTATACTAAAGGGGGAACTTACCGGCCATRACAACTTAACAATGTGCTGGATGAAGCAGCTACTTATGGCGACAGTGGTGACAATTTAATCTTTCTGTTTTAGTTCTCGAATATATCAGGACGACTTGGTGACAAAGTGTTCAATAAAAAATATTGAAAACAACAATAACTCTGCACAATTTCACTTATTAATATTATAGCACTTTTGTCTTCTCGTTTATATTTTTAACTTATGTCTTTTTTCTACTTGCCTATACATTAAATTTATTTAAAGAAAAGTGCTTTGACTTGATTTTTCACGTATTCTATCATATATTCTCTTTACGCATATTCAATTCGCACACTATAGTAGAAAAAAAAAAMCMWKRAAAAAAAAAATTAGCCGACGAACAACGAATTTGCACACTTTTTCTTTACACTCGTTCGTTCACTTTCTGTGTGTTTTGTTGTGAGGTAAAACAAATGCATGCAGCCACAGGCGGCGGCGTTGTCGAAAACTACAGCGACCGGTGGTTGTGGTGCTAGAAAAAAATCGTATAAAAACGTATATGATAGAATAAACATATAAAAGGTGCAAAAGCAGAAAAGAAGTGTAACGCGCCATRTTACTATTCGGTGTTTGCTATGCTTTATGCTAACGAAAACGTGCAATAGCGGGTGGAAATTCCCAAACACATTCCGAATGACAGTAGAAAGTGCAATTTTCGTTTTATTTTGCTTTTTCTGTAGTAATTATTTAATGCTTTATTTGTAGTAATTATTTGTCTTCAATGACCCTTACTGAAAGTGGTCTATAATTCTTCAAGTCGTCTACCTGCATTTATTAAATACAACGCATGACCTTTAATATATATATATATCTGTCGTGGGATAATGCATTTATACCGGTTTAAAATTACATATTTTTACAAAAGAAAAGTTTTGCATGAAACTAGTGCCTATTTTTTACGCACGCACCGCGTGACTTGTTTTACATATTTTATTTTTCGAATAAATTCTATGCTAGAACTTGAAATTTCTACAATAGCTCGATATTCACTTAACACATAACATCCATATTACACTTTTAAAGATAGGTATATTAAACTATATTTTAATTGCACTGACACATGTRTAAATAACTTCACTTCGCACGATTATCGTTTCACATTCATATGGCAAATTTGGAGTGAATAAGTTAATACAACTGAAATTCCAACAACTTTGATTTATTTCTCGTTAATACTACATTCGTCTTGTGTTTCTAATCTTGCAAATCGTATCAACATTTTACTCCATTGCTTTTGCGATAATTTTTATTCATTTATTTTATTTGCTTCGTTCGTTTACGAGTTTGCCTGTCGTTTGCTAGTCAAAATGATTCTCGTTGCTTCGCAATTTACGGCCGCAACGGCAGCTGCTGTCGCTGCGAGCCAATTCAACGAAGTTCGCACTAAATCACAATTATGATTGTTGTTGCATTTGTCGTACCTTCACGGCGACTTGCAAATTTATCTAGTGTTTTCCTTGCACTTTTCGTTCAATGCTTGGTAATGCGACACCACAGAATTTAAATAATTTTTAAYTTATGACCATTTTAATAAACGTGCACACCTTTTAAACACTTTAAATTGACAACGAAATGCCGAAAAAATTGTGGAGAAACACCGCACAGAACTTCGCGACTGCTTAAAACAAATTACGAATTTAGAATGGCAACAATTCAGAGTTGCCAATATCAATTTAATAACTTTATAATATTATAAAATATCTTACATTGGCGCGTTTTATTAAATTTCAATATAATTATGTGGTAACAATTTCAGGTATACATTATTAATATATATTATGCTTGTACGCATATTTAAAGAAATGTCGGGTGCAGAAAAGTCTGCCAAAAACTGTGGTGAAGAAAACTGTTGCAACACTGTTTAGCTATGTTTGTTTTGTTTTATTTTCTTTGGTCAATAATCGATAATAAACAGTCGTGGCGACAAGAAAAGCGAAATTAGAAATTTATCTGCAATTATTGTATATATGTTTTTAAAGATAAAACATTTATTGCGCTAGATATTAAAACCAAATAATGGTTGCTTTGAGGGAAATTATTTTCTTTTGCGAGCCTAAAGTTGAACTATTTAGAAGGAGATACTGAAAAGCTTGCAGTCAACAGAAATTAGTGTATCCACAGGGTGTTGCATATAATTTAATTTTTGAATTTAACCGAATTATTTTACGTAAATTTGCTGTTTCACATTTTACCTGCGTTTTATTTCTTACTCGAATACATTTTCTTTCAACTTACTCTGTATTTTTTTWGTACCATTCATATTTATGGCCGTATTAAGCATATTTCCAATTTTCGTGAAACTCGATTGACGCATAAATGTGCGCGGCGGTATGGGCGGTGGGGGTTCTGGTTCCAATATTGAAGTTGGCTTCCAGCGTTCCATTTTAGGGCTCTTTTCACTGCTTGAAAGAGTTTTCCAATCCATTTTACTTAGCTAAAATTAATTTAAAGTAAACTTAATTATTACGATAATCACATTCAAATAAAATTCACATTATTTTAATGATTTAATTGAGACGAGTTTGAAAACAAGGTTGCAATTTTTTAATTTTAAAAATGTTGTTATCATAATATGGATAACAATATCATAATGGACTTAATAAATAAAATTTAATAGTAAATACATTTTGGATTAAAAACTGAAAAGAAATTTTTTAATTTAAAAAATCACGTGACACACAAAAAATTAGTTTTTAAATGAAAAGTCGTAGCAGCAAAGCGATTTTTTAACTGAAATACTATAATTAAAAGTAGTTAAATATGAATAACACTAAAATTGCGAAACTATGTTGACATTTTATTAAAAATAAGCTTTCCTTTGCAAAAGATAATCAAAATGGCATAACTCGAGGTACGAAAACGTGAAAAAATGTAAATTCTGAATTAATTTTTTTATTTTCAATTTTAAATAATAAGCTTGGGTTTAAACTTTTTTTATTTTTTAACCCGGTATTAGGAATGTTGGAGATTATTAAACAAATTTTTGTGATTAAATTTTTTTTTAATTTTTAAGCTTGTATTCATTTTAAAAATTAAAAAAAAAAAAGAAATGGGTTTTCAAAATGTATTTTTTTTTTAATTTTTAAGAATATTTAAAGTAAATTTTTGGATTAAACTGCTTTGTAAATTTTCAGGTGGGTATTTATTTTAAAAAATTATAAATTAAGATTTTCTTAACAATTTTACTACTAATTTGCGTCTCCAGTTCAATAATCCCATATTCTACATCTTTTTTATACACAAGCCTGGCACATCACTGTACCAGCCGTTTAAATATGTTTTTCCAGTTAATAATTTGTGTAAGTAAATATTTGCTTGGTGCACACGGCGTATGCGTGATTTTCATTAGTTGACAAGTGATAAATGTCGCGCATACGCGGTGTACAACCATACAATTTTCCATTCATACACATATGCACATACATATATACATATATTATGTACATTAAAAAATAGTTTGAATATGCATATTTGAATAAGTTTTTTTTCCTTGGAGTATTTGCATTATTTGTGACATATTAACTGTTCATTTATTAGTAACTTTGCCTCGTCTAGCTGTTTATACTAGCTATTTATGTAAAGTATGTGTCTCTTCAGCCAATTAAGCAACAATAGTATTATACATACATATGTATGTGTGCCATTGTTGTTGTTTGTTATTGTATAGCTGCATATACATACATACATTTGTAGGAGTATTATTAAGAGTGGGGTATGCAGTTGTTTTAAAATTGACAGATCATGCATGCGCTTGATCTGTCACTCGTTTTGTCAAACAATTAGCACATTTCCATTGTAATGGTTACATAAATATGTAGAGACAGTGTGGCAAATGAGTACCTATGTAGGTACTATATATACATAGGRCGGTAGATGAATAAATATTTTTTCTAAGGCAGGGTAAATCAAAATTGTGATTTTGCGTGAATATTTATCTTTTCCAAAGTTGTTTAAAACTTGCGTGACAGTCTTCCTTTTTTTAAACAAAAATGTCAAAATATAGCGAATTACTTCATTATCTTCATTATTTCCACTCATTTTTGAATAGCTGCAACTTTTTTCCAACTTCTCCGAAATAAAATTTTTTTTTGGGTTAAATGGAGCTTAAAACTTCACCTTTCCAACACTATATGGTATGACACAATGCGATTGGTAGCACTTGATATATACGACTCTATTGACAAAATGCGAAAAGACTTTTYCGACTACCAAATATTTATATTATTTTATGATAAACCAAGCTTGTTCAAGTTTTGAACTCATTAATACCATTGAAAAAAGCTTTACAGTGCGTTTCGAAACCAGTGYTGTTATTTAAAAACGCTTATAATTTCTGTATAAGAATCCACTTAGTAAATTTACATAATCATAGTTGGTGAAAATTGTTTAAATAAGCAATATATTTTAATTTCAATTTGTACACACGGCGCGCTTTTGAGGATTTCATTGCTTCGTATGCTTGACGCGTTACGTTTTGATATTGTTTATAACAATTTGCAGTTTCGTAAATATGTTATCGCGCTGTGTCAATAACGAATGAGAAATACAGGAAAAATGCGCCAGATTACTTAAATTTGTTTATRGAAAAATTAAGCAAATTATTTGCTTAGTAATAATGCAATAGACACATGGAGATGTTTACAGGCTTAGTTGAATATATGTATGTACGAGGTGTGTTCAAAAAGTATCGCGAATTTTGAATTTTCGGGTTATGTATATTCGAATTTCGAATTTTTTGTGGCGTCATGTCTCTCAAAAAAAATAATGGTTAAGTAACTAATCAAGAAAAAATATTAATACCCTTCACAGGTGTATTTTTTATAGCGTAAAATGGTATAAAAAGTCTTTAGCTTACTTCGATAGATCAGTTGCATGACAGCCAGATATTAACCTATCATCAGCACGCACGAGAAATGGAGTCCTAGAATCGACGATAGACACCGAAACAAACACTAACCAGCACAGCAAAAAGAGCGAAAGTGGAACATTTCGAACCTAAATACTCAGCTATAGACAACCAGAACACAACTAGCAGCTCCTCCAACATTGCAAGGAAATTTGATCAAAAATCAATGCACAGGGCTTCCCACATAAACATAAACCAGCAGTTTACTGGTGAACTGAAAATATCGGCCAACATAGGCGCACATGCCTTCGCCTTTGGGCAGCCACATCGCGAGTAGTCGAGCAATATAAAGCAGCTGAAGCACGACATCGCTGATAGCAAAAAGAATAAATGGGAGTAACTACACGAGGATATTAACAAAAAACCTCAAGAACTTGGGTATAAAATAGTAATGAAGAAACTTGTTGCTCGAACAAAGCAAGTTGACTTAACCGCTGCCAAAATGTATCACAACGTAAACACACTCTTTCCCACACACGAAAAAAGGGCTACAAATAATCGCTGCAGAGGGACTGGCAGTACCAATAAATATTTACAACGCCTCTGCATCGAAGCCGGCATATTCCCTGAATCATGGAAAAAGTAATGGCTGGTGCTAATCAGTAATAGAAATCCAACTTGCCAATAGCATACCGTCTACTATGCATGCTTCACACAGCTGGAAATCTCTATGAAAGGCTACTTAAAGAGAGACTTGAAGCGGCTATCAACGAAGCTGGATATTTCTCCACTAGACAACACGGCTTTAGACCCRTCAAATCAACTCTAGAAGCTATAAAATACGTCATTAAAGGTGTAGAAACCGTACAGAGTAGGTAGCATAAATTCAAAAGAATATTGTGGCTGGCGACTTTAGAAGCGCAAACTGCATTCAACTGCGCTAGATAGGTGGATATAATCCATGCTCTTGTAAAACGCTTTAAAATCTCCGACTAGCTCAAAGCTGTGGTGAGGGTAGATAGGGATCACAACAGATAGCGATCACGTCAGAAACAGCACAAGGAAACATTCTAGGCCCAGACATGTACCATATACTAAAACACGAAATGCCAGACGAATCGTACTTAATTGAACTTGGACTCGGATGATATTGCAGCAGTAATTATAACACGGGACACAAAAGAAGCGCGAATAAAGCTTAATGTGGTCATGTTATGGACGCAAACATGGCTACTACACAACAGAGCTACTACGGCTAATAAATAAGCACATACCCCTTGAAATAAGTATGCAAACGACTACGAATATTCTTAGGACACAAAAAGCAGTAAACTACCTAGGCAGAAGACTGGACCC